TGGAGCGTAAACTTGCGTTTGAAGCGCTTGGTGCAGTCGGGCATCGAGCATTCGAAGCGGCGGTCGTCGTCAAGGAGGGTCATGGTAGGAATAAGAGAGCTGTCGTGGGTGAGCGCGAGCATGATCTTGGTCGTCTTAGCCTGGCTCCATATATGGGCGGGGCAGGAGGTTTGGGATACCTGGTAAAACCAACAATGACGTACCGGCGGTAGCACGTTGGACGTGCAATGGGTTGGTAACCGTGCATTTCCACTTCGTCGCAATCACTGGATCCAGGCAATGTAGCCATTGGATTGGCTAAAAAGAATGCAATTTCGTGCGTTTGGACGAATACGAGCTTTTGACTGGACAAAATTCAGATTGAGGCCACAGGATTGGATAAAAAGCAAACCAGGTGGCGCCTATTGGCGCCATTTGATTGGCACACAGCCATCTGGCACCCGCCCATCGGACTCGGTATTTAGAGAAGGGACCTGCGCGCTTGGTGTGGCCGTTGAGTATACAAAATCCGAGTACTCTGCGTCGTGTCGTGTGTCTCTGGCGTGAAATTTTTGGCTGTCGACGGCCTCGGAACCGACGCTAGCGAATAGAGGAACGTGCAGGCGGAGCATCGCTTGATGATTGACACATGGGGTTGTTCCAAGGAGCTTTTCGCATCGGAGGCGCAGTTGCTGCCCTGTCGCTCACGTGGGATACAGCGATCGAACCTGCTGGAACAAGGAGGAAGGACGTCGATGGTTGATGGTCATCGGGCTGTCGCCAGCCGCGACACCCCTATTAGCTGTTTATGAACGCACCAGTCCGCACTAAGGGCGACCATGACATGCAGTGTCGATACGCTTGATGCAGAATATAAAAAAGCATGTTTGTCCGACGGCGGATACCTCGTATCGTGTCGTGCTCACGGCGTGATCACCTGGGTCAAAGCGCTGCGAACTTTTGTTCCTGGCCGTAGCCGAGGTGACGCCCACCCATGACTGGTGTCGCACTGTGACCTCGTTGATTGATTGATACGATAGTGTAGGCGTGTGCCGCGTGGACGTCAAGCTCAACACGTTGCGACGTCGCACGCGCGTCGAGAGAGTTAGCACTTGGGCGGGGGCGTCTGGTCCGTCGTTAACGTCACTTGCCGAGCGACTGTTCTGATCACGTTTTTGCAAGTTGCGAAACGAATCGACTCCTGCAGCACGAACATTCACCGATGGATGCTGGCTGTTGACAGTCATTCGGTTATCGTTGTACAAGGTCCTGTGCTAGCCTTGCAGATGGTAGTTGTGGCACTCTATAAGAGCAACAATGTCACAGAGCGCGACCGGTGAATCGACGGTGGTTCGTTTGGTCCTCGTTCTTGGCCTCGGTGCTGACAACGATCAAGTAGAGGCATTTTATTATAGAGACATATATTTGGGGCAGCGACTTTAGTACATCCCGCCATCGTCACACAGCAGTTCTTCCAAGCGCCATAGGTCACTCCACGGCTCATCCGGGCGGAACTGCGGCGCTTGAATCGGCTCGAGGTCCACTGATTCGCGAGGCATCGCAATCTCTTGGGCAATACGGCATCGCTGTTTCTTCTCACTCGCAAGCGGCTCGTCGTCGTCGTGGAGGAGCTGGCTCAGATCCACCCACATACTCGATCGCGCATCGACTCCAGTGCTCGCATGCGCCTGCATGGTCATGTGCCGCGACAAGTTGCCCGACGTCGAGAACGACCCGCAACAGAGATGGCAGACGTACGGCTGCAGCCCAACGTGCGTCGAGAGGTGGCGCACGAGCTTCTCGCGCGAGCAAAACCGCTTGGCACACGTGCTCCAAGCGCAGGCAAACGGCTTGTCGAGGCGGTGCGTGTGCGCATGCCGGACGAGGTTACCCGATGTGGTAAAGCTTTTCCCACAGTTGGCCTCGACACAGACAAAGGGCCGCAGTCCCGTGTGGGTCTTTTGGTGCTCGTGCAAGGTGAACTTGCGCTTGAAGCGCTTGTCGCAGCCGTCAACGGGGCAGGCAAAGCGTCGGTCGGGCTCCATGGCGTAGCAAAAGTGAAAATGAAAATGAAATTTGTGGCCTCGAATCACGCGTGCCTTGTTGACGGGCACCGAACAGGATGTGCGGTTGCTGCCCTTGGTTGACGTGGTACTTGTTGGCCTTGGAGCCAGCATCCGGGAGGCCAATGCAAGATAAATTCGGGGTGCCGAGGGCGACGGGCAATGGGAAAAGATACCTCAACGTTACGCGTCCTACTGTGTACTCCCAAAATGGGAATCTCGTGAGCCCGATTCATTGAGTTGCGACTGCGATCACTGGACGGTGGTGCGAAATGCTGTCGGAATGACATTCTGGTCGCTTAACCAAGTCGCCATTGTGACATGCATCTCCCGCCACATGAGTTCATGCAACGAGGCGATGTAGCCCCTGCAAGCCGCAACGTTCTTGTATGGGTGATCAAGTTCCTACGCGAGCCTCTCGCAGCAGCAGACGCGCTTGGCTTCGTCAAGAGATTTATACATTGGCTACTCATGCCAAGAATATTGTTTTTGCGATATTTTCGAAAGTAGCTTACCGCAATAGCCTATCGCACCTTGCGTCCAGCATTCCAGCATGGGTCGTCACGCGGAAGGGGACGCACATGGTGTAGCGTTGGACGCTCGCCAGCCAGCAGTCGCTGGCTTTCTCTACGACGATGTCGCCGCGCCGCTCTCGGCCCACAAGTCGTCCATTCATCACCTCTGGCCGATCTTACGCGCTTGCGTCTGGTATTGTCTTTGGCTCGAACGCAACAACCGTGTCCTTTGCTCGACGCTAACGCAACTTCCCGTTGCTGCGCTCGCGATGCGGGCAGCTAATATCGCATGGCTGCATGTCCGGCACTGGCTCGGCGAGCTGTGGTGCCATCGCTGGACGCGTCGCTCATCGCTCTCCAGGACGATCCTTGATGTGCACGCTACATGATCCCTCGCACTAAAGCTCCTCGCTTGACGCACTGGCCACGCCTCACGAGCGCATTAGGAAGTCCACCATATCTCTTTATAGTCGCATATAACTCAGTTCAACAACAACGCTCGCCAGCCAGTACCTCGAAGCCCTCTCGAGTTAAGTCATGGCGTTAGAGACGTCGCGGTGCCTGGGTGTAGTCTTCGTTGTACCCGACGTCCAGAAGGTATTAGTGACGTCACAACAACGGAATATTACGAAGTGCGTCCAGTGATATGTTCTTGAGCGTTGAAGGAATGGGTACTCGCCGTCGAATAGGCACCTGGATTTCTCCTCGATCTGATGCTCGATCCAACGATTTCTGGGGCAGCGTCCGCAGAGGAAGCGAGGAGATCGACGAGAAAGCGAGTTGTTGTGCTAAGCTGTAACCAGTGCGTAGCTGTGGATCGAGAGCAGTCGACAACGTCAACCACTTCTGGGTACTCGTGGCATCGGGCCCTAACCCCATACGATCGCGGTCGCCAGGGTGTGCGCCATAAGAGACTTGCTATTCGGCAATGGATCTTCAACGATTCGGATCGGTAGACTTGGTCTGAGTATTGAATAGAGAAAGAGTGTGGTTTTACAATGGCTCTGCCGAATGGGCTCACTCAAGTAGCCTGGTTGGTTTCCACCTGTCTTGCACGCTTTTACGCGCCGCAACGACCTCTTGTGCCTTGTCTTGCCCGACGCCTCTCGCAAGTGAACCCGCGGCGGCGTCAAGCACTCGACGAGGGTCCATAGAGCGATGGATTCTATGAGGAGGACGGGGTGCAAGCGTGTAGCAACCTCTTCTGCAACAAATGACAAAGAAGAAGGATGTTGATGTCCTCGAGCAGACATACATGGAATCTGTACTGTAGTCTTGATAGATTCAATACGAAGTCATCTTGGTTTGCCTGCCATGACGCATGCTTTGACGAGTCTTTTGTGTACAGCACCAACGGCACATCATCGATGTTCCTTTAAATACGCCGCACACCATTCCAAGAAGGGATATTAACGACGACGACAACTATGTATCTCCTGCAGCCATTGTACAACAGAGTCCGTCACGAAAATGTCCGTAGCAATCCCACCGTTGGCGTTGAGGCACTCAACGCCAACAGTCTGGAGCGCAAATACCACTCGCTCTTGCACACCAGCTCTTTCAAGCACGACATCACCTTCTACCAAGCGACCAAGTTGAGCTCTCGCAAGACCCAAGATGCAGCCACGTTCGCGTGGAGTCAACTGATTTAGCCCGTCCCATTGGTTCGCCTGCGACCCGCTCTTTGCGCGTGAGCGAGGTGAACACTCGTGTCGCGGGGTTGTCACTATGGTGCGGCCCGACGGCGCGATTCAAGATCTTTGGGTCGTCACACTGGTTCCGGCCAAGCCCGAGCTCCAACCCCGCTATCTGCTGCTTCAAGGCCTCGTCGACGAACTTCCCGTGTATCTCCACAACATTTACGCGCCGTGCGTCGCGCGCAGCCTTCTTCGCGGCGCTGCCGCGAGACTTTCTGCCCGATGATCTACATATCGTCGGGGGCGACTTTAACGTCACGTTGCACGACTGTATGGACTCTGTCGTTCCGTCGGTTGCATATCAAAACCGGACGCGAAGCCCTCGTCGACTGGATTGGCTGCCTGGACCTCGTCGACGCAGTAAGAGTCGACTGGTTACATCTTCATGTCGCGCGCCCTGTACCTCGGTCAGTCGGCAACGGCTACGCGTGAGCACGGCACGACGCGTTACAACCACTCGGCCTGCATCGTCACTCTTCAACCCGGCCGGCGCCCTGGTCCGAGACCTTGGACACCGCCACCATGGCTCCTCAAACTGCCGGAGGCGGTTGATATCATTGCGTCGCACCTGGATGGCTTCCTTTCCCGCACGACCCTCTCGTGGAACGTCTCCAAGTACTACGACAAACATGGTGTACTATATCCGGCGTCGGCTACACGAGCTACACCGCCACAACGTGAAGGAGCACGCCGCCGACCTTACGACTCTCACGCGTCGTCTCGCCGACGCCTTCGACGCGCTTCAAGACGAAGTCACCGAGGCTCTCATCGCGTCGCTGCGCCCGATCAAGGTTGAGCTCGAACGGTACCACGCTCAAGTGTGCGAGTTCAAGGCCGAGCTGCACCGTCACATGGCCGAGGCCGACCGTTGCTCACGACGACACTTGAAGATACCCGCCCCAAGGCCCTTTCAAAGGAAAGCCGTCTCTGCCATGACTGACGACGACGAGATTCAGCACACGGAGCAGGCGGGCGTTGAACGCACGCTTTATCGGTTCTACACGCAGTTGTACGCGTCACATCCGCCAGCGCACGCCGACGAGATCGACGCATTCTTGGACTTAGTGCTTCCACAGCCGCTGCCCGCGGCACTCGCAGCCGGCCTCGCCGCCCCGATCATGGCGTCGGAGCTGTACGCGGTCGTCGTATCGTCATCGTCCCTTAAGGCGCCCGGACCCAACGCGCTGCCCCACGAGGTTCTGAACTCGCCCCGGAGAAGTGGGCGCTCGCGCTCGAGATGGCACTCATGCATCGCCTGCACGATCACATGACGCTGACGCCGGCCCAGTGCCGAGGCACGACGATCTTGCTCCACAAAAGGGCGCCTACGACCGCGCCGGTAACAGCCGGTCCATTAATCTCATCACCACGGACGTCAAGATGTTGACCAAGGTTTTGGCCAACCGGGTCCAACCGTGCGCCGACAGGCTCGTCCACCCAGACCAGAACGACTTCATCCACGGCCGCTCGATCGTGTCCAACATCGCGCGCCTCGACGACTTGCTTGCGTGCTGCAAGGACCACGCGCCCGAGTCGCTTGTGGCTCTTCTGGACTTTGAGAAGGCCTTTGGATCGGGTCTGCCACTTGTTCTTTGCCCTCCTTCGGCCTCGCCTCGGCTTCCCGCATGCGTTGTTTGACACGGTGCGCTGCCTCTACACGGGGCGTCAGTCGCGGCTGCTGGTGAGCGGCTTTCTCTCGCGCGCATTCGACATCAAGCGCGGTGTCCTCCAGGGCGATCCCTTGTCGCCGCTGCTTTTCGTCCTTGCCATGGAACCGCTCTGCAACTTGCTACGCAGCCGGCCGGACCTCGGGGTCTTGATCGGAGGGGTCAGCCACGTGGCAAGCTGCTTTGCTGACGACACGCAACTGATCGCACGGGACGAACCCGCGCTCCACGAGCAGCTCGCCCTCGTCGAACGGTTTTGTGCAGTGTCTGGCTTCCGCCTGAACCGCCACAAAAATGAACTCCTCACATACGCACCGATTTCGGACGCCCTCTCGCCGCTTGTGGTCTAGTCCGCGCAACCAACTAAGGCTCTCGGGATCTTGATCGCGCCTCATCTTGAACCACACGCCCGCTTCGACTATGCCCTCGACAAGTTTGCGGACCGGCTTCGGTTGTGGTCGTACAAGGCGAACACGCTCGTTGGCAAGGTCGTCATTCTCCGCACCCTCTACCTGCCGCTTCTCTGGTACGAGCTGGCATGGGTGACGCCCTCAGCCAAGGCCGCCGAGCTCATCGACCGCACAATGCTTCAATTCCTGCGCAACGAGCCGATCGCGCGCCAGAGTGAGCACAGAGTACGCCACTTCCGTGCTGCTGACCTCGCCTTCTCGCCTCGTCGCCTTGGTGTTCTCGGTCACGTGCGCGCACTGCCTTTGTGGACCGCGTGCCACCGGGCCGGGATGCTTCGCGCCGCGCAAGGAGCGCAACAGCTCCCCGAAGATCGCCCGGCGTGGATCTCACCCGGTTGGACGCTCGTCTCGCTCGCGTATGCGCGACATCCAGGACTTGCTGCATGGTGACCAGTATCACCCAGCGGCGGCGGCCGTCCTTCACTCGGCTCGCATTCCACCTCGATGGCGCTTTCTACTGAAGCTGTGGATCGAGTCACGGCACTCGATTCACCGTGACGGCGCAACACGCCAACGACACCGCACGATCAGCCGCTGTGGCACAACACATTTCTCGAGTGCGCCGACGCGCTGCGCCCGCTGACGACAAGCTATGCGACGACTCACGCACGCAACATGGCACGCGCCTCCTAACCACGTCTCGCACTTCTGGGACGCATACAGGGCGTTTGATACCTTCGCCGCAAACATACGAGACAAGTGCGCCGCGCTGGAGCCTGCAGTGCCTACCGAAGCCTGGCTCCGTTCGGTGGTGCGCGCGACCGACTGCCTCGCCCTGCGACACCACAGGTCGACGCCGCCTCGCCGGGGCCGCCCGCGTGGCGCGTGTGTTTTACAGGCACGGTGATGGTGGATGCAGCCGTCGAGTACCGCCAACCCGAGCTGATATCATGTACCGTGTCGTGCTTGGAGCAGTCGCGATCGGCTCCCGCCTCTACTTTCTGGTCGATGACGCCCAAGTCTGTCCCGTCTGCGGCGACCTCGAGCCGTACGACCATCTTCTGCTTCGTTGCGAATTTGTCACTGCCGTGTGGGCGGTCTTTCAGCCGCTCGTCGACGCCCTCGAGCTCGAACTTCCCACAACGCTTTCCGCGATCCTCTTTGAACCGCTGATGACAGCCCTACGCTACCGTCGGCGCGCCGTGGCCATGATGTGGCCGATCCTCCGCGCGTGTGTGCTCCACACCGTCTGGCTTGCCTGCAACGATCAACCATTTCGCCCCGAGGCGCCCCTTGTGACGCCTGCGGCAGCCGCCATCGAGCTGCGTTCTTGACCAAGCTGTGCCTCCAACACTTGCTGCCGAACACTCAAGCATTGTCCTCCCCCCAAATGATGGCAGCCCTGCGTCATGACGCATGGCTACGCGACGACTTCGTTCCGACATGTACCGTTCACACACCACGTCTCCCGCTCGGCTAAGCCTCTCGGCCGCCGTCTCGTCGTAGCACCTAGGAATTGCTAGTCTTTTGTCAGGCGGTGTATTACCGGGATTACCACTATGGGTTTTTCTTTTTCTATGTGGTCCATCGTCAAGCTACTTGATCGACCAGCAGCGTCCGCGGTCGTGAGCCAGACCCATGTTGCGGAGTTCCACTTGGATGCGACCGTGGGCCGACCTGGAGCTGCAGCACCCGAAGGTACACAGGGGGTGCTCACTTAAACTCGCGGGCTGATGGAAGTCGTTGGCTTGGCGACCGACGCGAAATGTCGGGTGGTCTGATGTTGATTGCTCGTGGTGCCGACACTGGTCGAGTTGTTTTGTTTTGGCGTCTTGGTCGGTCGTCGTACATG